TTATTTTGTGCGCAATTCTCTTTTTTACGTTTTTAGTTACAAATAATTAAAACAAGTCGAGATTAAAAGTACAGCGGTTTTGCATCATCGCGTTTCGATCAAAATACGTTACGCCAGCATGTTCGCAAAAATAGCAGCTATAATTTCCATGAATAATAAAACACGAGCTGGATTTTTATCTCAACGTATCGATTATCTGTTCGTTCGTGAATCGGCCACATCGGATCGAGTTTGCGGTTGAACTTTTGGCGCGATATGGCTCGCGTTAGGCGGATTCGGTAGATTGTAATGAAACGGGGGTTATATAGATCGAGTTACGGGTTATTAATATGAGCGATTATATTAGACGAGAGCGGGGTGGTCGCGAGCTCGGGGCAGGACTCGATGCGGCGATATATATGTCGAGTTAATCTAAAAATGGAAGACATGGGACACACGGGGCTGCGAAGAAACTCGCTCCGCAAGAGATGAGGTCGGTAATTTCTTCTGGAAGACGGATCGATCCTACCGGATCTGGATCCTCTATGGATCTAAATATAACGATGCGCAACCCTTGCACATTTTTTTCTCATTTTTCGCTACATTTGCAAAATTTAAAATTATATAAATCCGATTAATAATTATATAAATCAAATACTATTTTAAAATTTAACGAGACAAGTTAAATATAATTATATTATATCAATAAAATATAATTATTAATTCAATATAATTAATTATTAAATATAATTAGTTATTATTAATTATAATTAAATATAATTATTACATAACTATAATTGTGTAATTGTTACAATTATTATTATAATTACAAATTAGTGACATGAATTCTTAAAAAACATAAAAACAAAAAAGCAAAAATATTAAATATAAATCATAAATATTCGAATTCTTCTATTTAGATGGCAAAGGAAAGGTTGCGTATCGCAATCTGAGATATGATAGAGAGCAATTTGTTCCTAAATCTTAGATCAGTGAAAGGCGAAGATATCTTATTGAATTTGGGATCCTTCGTGATTCTATGATATGGCAAGAGAAGGAGATAGACTTGTTCTACTAAACTTCTTTGAAATTCAGATGATATTTCTTTCAACGGAAGACAAAGTTTCAGATCAAGAATAATATTTTCTCTCTTATATATGATATGATCAATATAAAAATAAATAATAAGAATTTCAGAAAAAAATGTAGCATAAAGTACAAAAGAATTTCCAATAATATTATTGAATTATTAAATAAGTGATATTTCATTGTCTATAATATTTCTAGCAACGACGCAATTTTTCAAATGTTAGAAAAAACAGCGTTTTTTGGAAAGCGTAAATAAAATTTTCAAAAAAATTAGAGTAATACAATTAAATAGAATGATCCTTAAAAGATTATATATTACATTAGAATTAAAACTTGCAAAATATATATTCTTATCCAGAATTACCACTTGCAAATATTTTACGAGTATAATGAGAATTTGAGATCCACACTCACAAATTTGATTAAACGAGGATAAAATGTATTAGAATCGGAGGAAAAAACTAAAAAACACCAAACAGCTTGAAGCATTATTGTGGGACAATTGAAAAATGGTAGTCATAAAAACCGAGACAGAAGCAATATTTGTTAATGGAGTTTCGATGAGATTTCGTCCTCGATCTGTCGGTCAGTCGAGCCGTTCATCACTTCTCATTTTCCCTCGTTAATATTGTCCTCGGTAGCACGAAGGTCGATTTGCGTGTAGATTCATGTCGAGCTGTCGACTATAGATATGGTCGAATAATGCATTTTCTTTCTCAAATTTGTCCCAATTTCGCTGTTTGATAAAAAAAAGATATAAAAGTATTTTATAAATCAATTCCTCAAAAAAAAAAATTAAAAAAGTAATCCCTTGAAACTATTTATATCATCTCAAGATATCAAAGCTTAAATAAAATACTCAATGTCATATTATTCTACAATTTAATGATGTAAGATATGATTATATATCCAGAAATATAATTTAATCTCATAAATGTTTTATCAATTATTAAAAAACATAATTATCTAACTTTACATCTGTATATCCGTAAATTTCATCGTAATAAAAAGTCATGACTAATGTGCTACAATTAAAATGATGAATGTACAACAAACTGACAAATCTGGAAACTATTAAAATTCCTCGCAATCATGAAAGAAATATTAAAAAAAAATCGCGCGAAAGAAATATTTAAAAAAAATATTTAAAAAAAATTCTTTAAAATTTTTTTCAAATTAAAAGCAATTCAGAGAGACAACTTTATTTATTTTATGCGGCATTTGAAACTTTCGTTTAGAATGATGAAACAAAAACAGATGATGATACGTTAAAAAGAGACAAGAAAAGAACGAAGAAAGATGGACACACATCCGCGGATGTACGAGCGATAATTTTATTCATCTTGCGAGATACTCAAGACGATCAAAACTTGAGTACACATACACACACATACACCAATTGGAAATGAAAATATACTTGAGAAAATTAAGAGTTGCGCAGCAGGAAGACATAAATACAAATTTCAATGTAATAGACACTATGAAACTTGACCGTGGTAATTTTCTTGGCTAAATGAATAACTCGTATTCAGAGAAATAAGAGATAGATATTTCCTAGAAATTTGAATTAAATAAATTAGAAGCTTCAAGATTATATAGAAAGAAGAATAATAAAACAATAACGAAGAAAAATATAAAACACTCAAGTTAAATATTATCGAGAAAGAATAATCAGTATAAAATTACTATATATTATTTACTTTAATATAATTTATCTCGTTTTTCTTTGTATAAATATTTTTTACAATGAATTTGATCAATGTAAATAATATAAAAAAAATAGCAAGGTATAATTACGAAGAGACAATAGAGAATTCTCAGTGCGTTTATCATTACTCTATCTTGATAACTACGACACCGATTTAGAATTTGGCAAGGAGGTAATAGTAATAGACTATATAAGATAACGTTTTTAGACCTTTGCTATGAGTTACCTACAGGAAAATTCTAACTCGCCACATTTAACGTGCGAGAAGATTTTTCGGCCAATGCGTACCTGAGTAATCTTAGAGATTAATCAACAGTAAGCGGGTGTAACGGATCGGAACGCATACTGGACATTTGGTCTGCCAATCTGGACATTTTCAACTATAAATCTCTGGAAACCAAGCGAGCGAAACGTCGGCGATCCGATTAATCGCTGCGCCCTTATAGAGATTAGAATCGAGATTATCGCCTGATTCCTGAGAGTACCAATTCAGAATTTGAAACCTCGATGGATGGAGAAAGATAGATAACACAGATCGAAACTTTAGATCCTTTCCGACAGTTGGAATATAATTGCTAATTATAAGATTCATTTCCCACTTTAATCCGTGATAAACTATTAAGAGTAAATAAAAGATCGATTACATATTAAATTTCCTCTTTGTGATTTTCAATCTAGCACTCAACTGTTTCCATTATAAATGATATTCCTATATTCTTTGAACTTTGATTTTCTTCTCTTTCAAAGAGAAAAATAAAAGTTTTTTTTCTTAATCTTATCGCAACTTATATATTTAAAAAGAGAATAAAAATATTTTATTGTCAAGATATTTTTATTTATTAAATTTAATACTGTTCAGAGATAACATTAGAGTTCTGAAGATAAAACTTTCGAATCTCTAATTAAACATAAAATACTGCGTTAATATATTGACGAATATAAAAGAGTCCAACTTTACAAAATAATAAATTCGACAAAAGGCATAATTCGATGAATCTCTGAATGGAAACACAGATTATAATCTCATTATTTAGCATCGCTAGCTCGTGAACTAGGAACATATTAAATCTACAAATTTAATTCAATCCGCATTATCAATCGTTCTTAAATCTTCGCGAAATTATCTTGAGAATCGAAAGATTCGATCTGAATGAATAAAATTATCTTCATCACTAATCTCATGAATTTCATGATTTATTCTTCAGAAAATTTAATCGCGCCGAAGGAAAAATGGCGCAGTGATAATAATTAATATTTTAGCTAGAAGAAAATTCGCACAAGATATCAATGATAGAAGAAACTAATGATAGAATACCTGCAGTGCTCTATAAAATGAAGCAGAATATGTGCAGCGATCTATTTTCTTTTTTATTCGCAATACAGTTAGTCTTTGTCAGAAGCCCTAGTTAATTGTAAATTTTGGTTGAGAGCGACTAGGGCAACCCTGGAGGATCAAGAATTAGCTGAGCTGCGACCGTAAAGTCGTTCATTGAGCTAGGAACAGCTGATTTCCATTAGCAGCGGTGATTAAAAGCGCTCCATCCAATCTTAAACGCTCCTCGAAGACGCTAGTTTAATTAAGATTCCGCAATCTGGTCGCAATTGCAGTCTTCTACGAGCTGCGTTCTCGTCTCGATTTACTTTTTTCACGCGCGAAATGTCGATTTGTTTCGACCCGCGAGCCGAAGAGAGCTTATAAATAATACTTTCGTCGCGCTTGGAGCCATTAGTTGCAACAACTCGAAACTCAGAATATATTACTACAACGTCTCACCCCGTAAATCCGCGAAACATCCGCAGAAGACCGCCGGATCATTTATCGGCACCTGAAAACTCGACAGAAAACTATCAACGTCCTCGAAGACAGTCTACAATTGGATTCGATAGAGGCAACCGAGTCTCGCTGTGCGATGCGTTTCGCATCCGGCGATCGATTTCCGGCGATCGATTTTGCCGCCGGGTGGCTAGGATAATTGCGCCGATAGTCCTTACCCCTGGCTCACACCCTGGTCTCGTTGTACGGACTGGACGAGCTCGCACCCTGACGACGCTGCCGGTCAGCGTCGCCCGGCACGTTGAACACGACATTCGGCACGGTCGTCGGATCGACCGGGGCCTGTTGATAATGCGACCGGCCGGGTTGCGATTGATGAGAATGGGAGGAGGACGAGGGCGCGGTCTCGCTTATGGAGGTAATCGAGGCGAGTATACGTCGACCGCGTACCTGGTAACGTTGGGGGTAGCAGCGCCCGCAGCAGGACTGCAGCAGGCCGCCCCTGGAGGCAGTGCTGTGCGCGGGGGAGGTCAGGGGCGACGGCGAGCCTGGCCTCTTCGGGGCACCGTTGTACGGCACCTCCATCTCCACGAATTCACGGTCCTGGAAAAAACAATAACAGACGGGGCTATTGAGTGAGAAACTTGTACGTTGAAGAGAAGAGCTGTGCTGCAGGGCGTAAATATTCATTCATGCGCAATGATGTTGATGAAAATATTCGTCGAGCTGTGAAAAACACGGATAACAAATAAGAAAACAAGCGAGATATATAAAATAAAGGAAACGAAAATAGAAAAAAAAGTTAAAGGACACACGACGGATATCCGATAAACTATCGAAGAACTCGAGATGAAAAGGGTAGAAAAAAGATGAAGAATTATAGGGGTTAAAAAAAAGAATAAAGAGTTTAGTGAAATGCAAATGTTGAAAAGAAGAATTGACAATGAATAGCGCAACGTAACTAAAAAGACGGAAATAAGTCATTGGATAAGAAGAATGAAATAAGAAAAACTGCAACGTACAGAATCCTCCATCTTTCCATTCATCTTATGAAAAAGAGCAAGGAGTTGTGAAGCTGAAAATGGCACCGATTCTCAAGTGGGACACATTAATTAGAACGAGTCGCATTACTGGAGAGCTTGCTTTAAGCTGTGCGAGGTAGAACGTGGATAAATGTGATGTTGTTGGAATTATTATCTAAGTAACTCCATGTAATATTGCCGAAGAAATGACTAAAAAACATTGCTATTTCATTTACTGTACATTTATCTACATTAACTACAGCTAGAGTATGTCTATAAATCCATCATCATGGATTTAACCAGGCATGATGGAATTATTATCTAATTATTTTCTCTTCCTTATCTATCTTATATTAATATTAAAATAATTAATCGCGTATAAAATGTGGCAGAAAAATATTAGCATATTAGCGTTTTCAACATAATCATATTTTTTACACTTTTTTTGATCATGTATAATATATTTTATCTAAAATATAAAACTTTCTCAATGCATTTCTTCTTCATTAAATATTAATTTCTAGCGGAAAATAAATATAATACTCGCTACAGCTCAATAATTAATTAATCTACTTTGCGTACACTGTGATTTTCCTAGCAAAACAAGCAAAGCTGTATTTCTCCACATGTTACCGACCTAAGTTCGGCTGCCACGTATTGTTTAATTTATATACAAAGTTGTTGGTTAACCCGAATTACAATGAGACGAGAAAGCAAACAGTGAAGCCTTTCAGTTGTTCCTCGTTGCACTGTTTCATGTTCATGTTTCATCTACGAATTTCCGCTTGAAATGCGTCATACCTCGCACTAATTTGAAAACGATTATTAATATTATTACACCTGCATGTATATTACCATGTAAATAAACTGCAATAGAACAAATGCTGATGAAATATAATAATCAGCAATATTTGTCTATTTATTTATTCCAGAAAAATTTAATTTTAAACAAAATCAAGATTATTTTTAATTTAATGGTATTTTTAATACAATAGTATTTTTTATATTATCTATTTATGATTTTTTATATGTTACTTATTAAATAGCTAAAAAACGCCAGCTGAAAAAATAAATCGTGTTCCGAGAGAAAATAATATTTCATATTGGATTTTATGGAAAAAGAGAAAAGAATTTCTATTTTATTTTCTCAATTTTCTTTCTTTGTTTTGATTATAATTGTGTGCAGAAAAAATAAATATCTCACATACATTTGAAGACGAAAAATGTCCAGAATTTTACAATTTCACAATTTATTTAATTTTATATTTGTTAATGTAAAATTTTTTTATTTATAAATTAAAGAAAGAAATTATATCGAAATAGCACAAAATAATAAATATAATAAAATTACATTACATAGATTTTTATTGATGATGAAATGTATCTAATCATATACAAATAAAAATAAAATACAATTTTATGAAGGAAAAAAAAATGTTTTAGATATTTTCTGAAATTTTTTTTAAATGTTTATATCGATCACATTTTTTAAATTCTGTCTTCTTTTTATTCTCTTTTATTTTATTCTCTCATTGTTAGTTAAATTATTGAAAAAGGTGATATACGAAAAACTGAATGGCATAGAATCCTGAAAAACGAGAAAAACGAGAGTCCTTCGAGAAATCCTGCGGGAACGATGCTCGGAAAATGGGAGGTTATCGAGTGATCTCGATGTCGGCCGAGTGAACGTTCGCTGTTTCTTCGATGTCGCGCGAAAGGATATTGCTCGTACAGAATAGAGCAGCATCTCGATCTCCTTTGCGATAAACGCCCTCGAAACGACTCGACGCGATCCAAGTAAACTGGAAAATTTTTCTTTTGTGCGAAAGTTGATGATCGCAATCGCGATAACTATTTTCTTATCATTTTGCATAATTAGTATTTGCATAATCACACTCTAAAAAATCCACGTTTTTTATTTTTATTCCAATATTGTTCGGTGTGTTTGGTATAATTTAATATAATAATAATATAATTATAATTGTACGCGTTATTTTTTACACATCGAGAATGATAAAAAAATAAAATATTCTCTAAATGACACCAATGATTCTTTATCATAATAAATTAAATAGTGCATCAGAATAATAAAATAAAGGAAAACCCACTGTCAATATCCGTTATTGTGAGGCCACGATATAATATTGATCGAGTCATAAAGTATTGATATCGTATATCGGAAAGTTAACGCGTCATATACAAAACGGCTTTCGTCAGCTGCTAGAGAATTCCCAAGGAGGCTATGGCTTTCAAAGCTACAGATGGCTCGCATTTGAGCAAACCCGATCTTGGAGAGCTACAGGATTACTCACGAGAGACTCTTCGTATTTCAACGCGCAAGCTTCCTGAAGAGACGCGATTTGTCGTCGTAAAACCCTCATTATTTGAGCCAGCGTATTCTAATCTCAGCGCAAAAGTTGTGCAGTTTGTACAAGAAATATTACGTAGGATTATCAATAATAATCCCGCAAGATTCATTCAAGAGATCTCGCAATATATAACGAAGAACGAGCAATATCATGTATATATATTACGGGTAATGTAATGTTGAAAAAAACACGCGCATTTCATACTGGAAATCATTTCGCCGATCTATTTTATTTATTTCTCTTTCCTTTTTAGGGGAAGAATGATCTTTGGGCGAACATTTATATGTATATGGATATAACCCTGCCGCGAGATTATTCACGAAAGGCCGACCTACATTCTATCGGCCAGGATCTTTCTTGCTGCCTTCGCGAAGACCAGATTAGACTCGTCCTTATCGCATGGCGTCCTCGGGTGGGTAACCGAGCGAAGGAATAAAACGAGGAGCTGCTATGGGGGCAGAGATATTTGTCCAATAAAAGATGCCGCTCCCCTATCTCTGTTATTTTCTCGTGAGAACTCGCGATACGCTCCTGTGCGTATCGTATTGTTCGCGCGGGTTGCACGCGAAAGGGAACGCCGCTAATGACGGTTTCAGAAAGATGGATGGGTTGGATGCGCCAGTGTGCGTTGAACCGATCGATCCCTCGAAACTTCCGCCAATCCCGTACTTTGACGTGCGAAGAATTAACGCGAAACTAGAATTCCTTCAGATTTATCAAGGGAGCACGGGATTTTTCATCTCCAATAGACGTCCCTTTAAATTGTTTAATTAAGCATGTTTGCATGTTTAATTAAGCTCCTTCTGTATAAATTAATTTTAGGAATTATTATCGTGCAATTATGACGTGGAAGTTAACAAATCACGAGTTTTCTTCCTTATTCGAGATACAAGCTTCTTATATACAATTGTTTGCATTTAATAAAATAGAATTGCATCGAAGAATTTTTAAATATTACTCATCAATAAATTATCGCATAATTTAATCTACACGCAAACGCTATATTTGAAATAATAAAATTGAGGAAAAAGTCAGCGATGAATTTTACAAACATGACCGATCAAATATAAAATGTTGAAATTTCATTAAATTAATTTTACGATATCGTTTCGCCTTTCGATTTCATAATTCACAGAGCTGAGATGACGGATCAGAAATCGTAAGACACGATCGAGATGTATATGCATTCCAGACATGACACATTCCCAGCATTCATAAATCAGCAACTGTGGCATTGCTTCATAAATAACTCGATAGGTATCGTGACCCGTCATGCTCCGATTTTACGATCCTAACAACGTTTCAATATACTTATGCGATTTCTTACTTGACGAAAGGGCAAGTCGACACATTCATGATAATATCTCGTAAATTTACAGATCTTTAGACTTTCGCTACGATTCTTCCAAAAAAAATATAGAAAGATATAATTATTACATATTTTCCATGTGCATTTTATTTCTAAAGTTATTATTTTTTTATGATTATATATATATATATATATATATATATATATATATATATATATAAAATAAAGACTTCAAAAAAATTTAATATAATCTCATGGAATATGTATTGGAAATTTATCAGAGTTAGATTCTCCTAAACACTTTGTCAAACTTTTCTTTTTGTTATTTGCTATATTTTCTTTCAAAGTAGACATATAGTTTTTTCACAGACAATAAAATAGCAGATGAATTAATTAATTTTTATTACCGTATTTATATCGATTCAAATTTATTATGGAATATTTGTATCTTTGTCATAGCGAAAAATTTATTTGTTCCTTAAAATTTTAGAGCGACATTAAATACTCTCTATATCTGAGATACAAAATAATGGTAGCTTTTAAACACCCACTCACATAAAAGATATCGCTTCTAGCAATGTTCCTTCGAGAATGCATATAATATCATGCTCCATATATGTATACTATAACTTCTCGAGAAAGTCTTCTTTAGTTACACGTTTTCGTATGTATAAAATCACTCACTACTATTTATTTTTGCAAAGCAGCATGAATGTTGTATCTTACAACACGAATTGTTGTGCACGTAAAATAAACGTCGCATTTGATGCAATATTCAAATGTCTCGGTTCCAATGACAGTTTTATTCCTGCACTCGATCTCGGAGATTTTATCACGATTTTATCGCGAGGTATTCTACGTCACGAGAATGTATCGGACCATAACTTCCGGTTTCAGTTCGTT